TAACCTTGGCAACAAAGCAAAGGAGAGTGGCCTGTTGTGGCATCCAAAGATGCTAGAGACAAAAGCTTAATGGTGGTCAATTAGTCCAGGCCCTTGCTTGAGACAAGGAAACTGAGGACAAGAGAGGCACAGGTCATTAAGCTGAAGTTGACCCAGGAACCTTGGTCTCTTAGCTCCGAGTCCCCAGCTTTCCCATTGCATTTGATTTTGCCTGTGGCCTGTTTCCAGAGCTTATTTTTGTTTGCTTGTTTGTGTTTAAATGTTTTTGTTTTCATTTTTGTTGCTTTTAAAATTATGAAAGCAGCGTGTACTTATCATAAGGAAATGTATAACAGAGGTACACAAAGAAAGAAGTGAGTCTCGCTTCCACTTCTGTCTCTTCAATACATTTTCTCTGTGGTAGAAGCCTCTGTCAAGGGACTAGTGTGGATTCTTTCTGACTTGCCCCCATCCATCAACAAGCACATCCACCGTTTCACTTTCATGTGCTCAAACATATCATCCATATTGTCTTGAGGCTTGTGCCTTTTTTCACTTAATATTTATCTGTATTAGTATACATACACACACTCTATGTTTTTTAAAACGAGATATAATTCACACAACATAAAATTCATCATTTATAGCACACAATTTTTAGTGTACTATCTGCTGTTCAACCAGCACCACCTAATTCCAGAACATTTCCATCACACAAAACAAGCATGAGAAAAAGGAAGCAACGCAGTATATTAGGTCACAGGATATTAGGAGAAACAGAACTAATAGAACAGATAGAGATAGATATCTTTATAGATGTATATGGATACAGATACAGATTTATAGGCATATATATATATATATGTAGCTATAAATAAAAGATGATTTATTTTAGGAATTGGATCACAAAATCATGGAGCCTGAGAAGTTCCAAGGAATGCCATCTGCATGCTGGAAAACTAAGAAGACTAGGGCATGATTTGGTATTGAGACCAAGACCTGAGAACTAGGGAGTAAAGGAGATATCATTAGTGTAAATCCCAGAGTCTGAAGGCTGCAAGACCAGGAGCTTTACAGTCTGAGAGCAGCAGAGGATAGGTATTCTAACCCTGGAAGAAAGCCAGAGGGAGAAGGAGAGGGAGGAGAAGAGAGAGGGGGAGATGGAGGGAAGAGAGAGGTAGGGGGAGAGAGGAAGAGAGAGAGAGACAGAGACAGAGACAGAGACAGAGAGACAGAGAGCATGAATGAGAGAGAGAATTTGCCATTACTCTGTCTTTTTGTTCTATCTGTCCCTGATTGGACTAGATAATATCTGCTCATCTTGTTAGGGCAGATCTGCTTTATTCAGTCTACTGATTCAACTATGAACTGTTTCTGGAGATACTCTCACAATCTGAAATAATGTTTCAACTAGTTATATGGGCATCACTTCACCAGTCAAGTTGACCTGTAAAAGTAGTCACCACACTTCACACCTATTAGTATTCAGTCCTGATTTACCTGTCTTTTCAGTCTCCTGGCAACCACCATCTACCTCTCTAGGTTTACTTATTCTGAACATACCATACGAGTGCAATTAAGCAATATGTGGCCTTTTGTGTCTGCTTCCTTTTACTGGACAAACTTTCAAGTTTCATGCACGTTACAGCATGTAACAGTACTTCATCCATTTTTATAGCTGAACAATACCATTGTAAGTATATGCTATGTTCTGTTTATCCATTCACTGGCTGATGAATGTTTAGGTTTTTTTACTTCTTTTGGTTACTGTGAATAATGCTCTATAAATATTCTACACTTCTTGGTGTGCTGATATGCTTTCAATTCATTCTTTTTCTTTACTATTACTATATTATTGTTTACCTTAGTTATTAGCACATGTGTGTAGTACATGATGCTTACATTCCATGTGGGAAGCTGATACACATTGTGGATAGCACATCTTAATTTCTTTATTCATCCCTTTTCCCTTCCCTCCCTCCTGCCTCCATCCATCTCTTGATCCCATTGATTTTTTGTACATGTTTTCATTACATAATGTTTGATCATATTTCCTTTTGAGAACTATCTGTCTCCCTACTTCCTATTATCTATCTTTTATTTTGCTCTTTATTTTTACCTTGGGTCTCTCATATAAAAGGAATCATATGATATTTAAGCTTATGTGACTGATTTATTTCACCTAACATTATGGCTTATTCTATAATCTGAATTTGTTACATAACTATTCCTCCTGTTGATGAATGTTTATATTTTATTCATTTTTATTATAAATAATGGCAAAATAAATAAGTCTACATATATCTCTTTGGGAAATAGCGCAGTGGTGAAGAAGGCTCCCTGTACCTGAGTCACTGCGTTGCCTCCTCCCGGCTCTGTGAATTTAAGCATGTTGCTTAGCCTCCCGGTGCTGCTGTTCCTCAGCTGGAAAACGGCTGAGAATAGAACTCACTTTACAGGGTAAATCATTGATGTAAACTAAGCAGTTGCTTTAGACATTGTATGTGTTCAATGAATGTTGTTAATATTGTATGTAAATTTTTATGTTGGGCTAAAAATTTTTGTTTCAAAATATCCTTGTTTATAATGCTGAAAGACATTGTTAATTGTCTCCCAATAAGATTATACCAGCAGGAAAAAGACTGCATTTCCCAACACTTCAGCCAATTCTGGAAAATACCAAGCTTTTAAAATTACTAATTTTACAATCTCATAGGTAAGAATAGCGTCTTGTTGCTATTTTACATTTCTCTAATTACAGCTGAGGTCAAGTATCTTTTAATATGTTCACTGACTACATACATGTATTTCTCCTACTGTGAAATGCCTATATTTAAGACACACATTTCTGTTGACTTGTAAGCTTTATATATAGTTCCTTATATTTTATTTTATATCTTTTTTATTTTAAAGTGAGTAAAGTAGAAGAGTAAAATGAAACAAAACAAAGTAGGAAATCCATGATCAGTACTATATTGCATGTGATTATCCTCTAAATAGTTGCCCGGATCACAGGCCCCCGGCCTGCTAAGTCAGTAAAGTAACAGAAATGTCAATTCGCTTCCCCGTTTCAGTTACCATTTCAGCCCTGCCGCGTCTGGCTGGTCACAGGTCAGGGTGCGGGTAGGGGAAACAGCTTCTTTACTGTGTCTCCCGCACCAGCAAGGCCTCTGCTGCACACAGGGAGGCTGCTTGCTCCTGGACACTTCTCCCGGCCTTCAGGCCCGGGCTGGCGCAGGGGGAGGCTGCACGTCTTCCAAGCTGCTTTTCCTCGGGCAGCGGGGCCTCCGCCGGCGCAGAGTGGGGGGCGCTGGTTCTCCCCAGCAGCTGGCAGGTCCTCTGCCTGCACTCGAGGGGTGGAGGTCTCTCTGTTTTCCGTGCTGTCCTTCCCGGTCTGGCAGGTCCACTCTTCCTGGCCTTATTATTTTTGCTGAATTCCTGAATTACCTCTGTCTCTCTCCATGGGCTCCAAGCCTCAGTTCAGGGCTCCCTGTGACCATGGGATGCACCTCTCTCCTTCTCTTCTTCATGTATTCCAGGGTCTAGACACCAAACTTAGAGGGATCTTCTTCTCTGTTACTTCATTCTGCCATTTTCCTCAAAGTCTGATTTTATATCTTGAAAATATTTTTTCTCACTTTGGTTCTTGCTTTTAATTTTGTTAATGATGTCTTTTGACATATTGAAGTTCTTAATTTCTGTGAAGTTTAATATATCAATATTTGCCTTTAGGGTGTCAATGATTATGCCTTGTTTTAGAAGACTTTCCAACCTCAAAAATATAAAGCTGTGCTATATTTTAATCTGTCACTCCTGTAACTGTTTTTACATTTAGCCTTTTAATCCAGTTGGGGTTTACTTGGGGGCACAATATGAGGTTTGGATTTAACTAAAAATATTTCCCAAATTATAGCTAGCTATTTCTAGTACATTTTCCCAAAGTTATTTGAAATGGCAATCAATGTATGGTAATTTTCTCCCATATTCAATAACTTTTTGTTGTAGATGGTATAAAAATCTATAAAACTGTCATAAGGGTATATCTCTATTCATGTATTAGGGAGTTTTCTATTTGGATATAACTTAATTCCTAAGTAAATCTATTGATTGATACCACAACTAAAAACATGTAGAATTACCACGTGTAGCATCTATTTACTCAACTCATATTTACTCTGCTCAACTAATTCTATTCAAATTATGCCATTGCAATAACAAAATGTAGAATATTGTTTTTGAAGACCCCTAGATGGACCTATATCTGAGGACATGAGTACACGGCAAATTTGTTGAAAAAACTATGCAATTGAAAATATATATGCATTTGTATATACTTTATAAAACACCTAGCAACCACCTCCAATTTAGAAATGTGTAGAATTTAAGAAAAACCAGATTTGAAGAAAATCTTTGTGGAAGTATAAAGCAGAGTCTACATCTATGTAAGTCCATGAAAAGAGTGGAGTCTCTTACCTTACTCTGTATTATACAGAAATTGTTGAGGAACACAAATTTATGTGACTTCTGGTGGATAGTGCTTTCCTAGATTAGGTCATGAAAAGGTTCATCTTTGTTTTGCCTCATCCCTCGGATACATTCACCCCTTTTTTGTTCTCTCAGATGCCCAATTCTAACCTTTTTGCTTAGGGCAGATCTTCATGGGAGTCTGCTATTGGGGTCCTTCTTCAGAGAGTCTATCACGTGAGGTGTGAACTCTGGCCTCATCTAGCTCTCATGCTGATGGAACATTCGCCATCTTGAAAACTGCTGGTTGCAGAAAAGAGATATCTGGAAAATCTCTCATTAGTGATTGAACCTCAACCTGGAAATGATATAGTTTATATCTGCTCACACAACTCCTTGTTTAAAACCAGTCATGCCCAACTGCACAGGGATCAGGGAATACGTGTAAACCTACTGTGAATTCTGGAGGAGAAGAGCTGGAAATATTCTGTGAATAGTCTGAGTGACTGTCACAATAGTCTGAGTTAGAAAAAGACAAATGGAAACAAGGGAAGAAATAACAGAGGCCCACAGGAAATTTTATTATATTTTCAGGTATGAGACAAGCAAGTTGTGATCCAGTACTGTAAAATTAATTCTATATTGGGTTAGGAAAATATAACTTCAGGAAGACATTTCATATGAAGTAAAAGAACAGTCACATTTTCTAAAATGTTTGTGAACCTAAAAGGGTTCTTAGCATCCAAAGAGGCTGAGGCAAGAGGATTACAAGTTTGAGTCCAGCTGGACCACTTAGCCAATTAGAGACCCTGCCTCAAAATACAAAATAAATTTTAAAAAAGAATCAGAGATACAGCTCAGTGCAAAGGCCCTTTGTTCAACCACTAGTACTGAAAGAAAAAAAGCATGTGAATACTATTTTTGCTTATCAGTCACTGATTTACACCTGATGTGAGGAATTTATATAGATCATCCAAATATTAGGTCAGCAAGCCGGAAGGTATTTTGAATGCAGTTGGATATGGCAGAGCTATCTGTTCTTGAATAAGTGCCTGCCCAACCCCCATTCTCTGTAAGCGCTCTTAGTATGTGTGTGTGCACTTCCGTGCGAGAAAAATCAATATCTTCTTGGATGGATGGAAATTGAGCTATGTCAAGCATACACAAATTGTCCTATAGCATCTTCCTGCTAGGAATCTATTATATTGATCAAATTTCCCTAGCAGAGCATCTACAGCAATATACAAAATAACAAGACAGGTGAATGGTAGAAATGCTGGCTTTACATTTTTCAGAAACGTCTCCTTCGCCAAAGAAACAATGCTTGAGACCTCCATGCAGGGCACTGCTGTTCCAAATGAGTGTCACGATCTACTCGCTGGTTCTGGCAAAGGTCACGAACACCATGCTCTTCTGTTTCTGTGGTTCACCTGATCCTTAGAGAGAATGAGAAATGATTTTCTCAGAACGCTCCATCAAACACAGGGTTCCTCCTCTTCGTTCCTTCCTCTCCCTTCCCCCGCCAAAGCAACATTCGCTTTCCCTCCTAGTTAATAGAACCACTGTGTGGGTGGCTATTTGGCTGAAACAGTGTAGCTACAGAAATTTTACCTTTGTATTGTGCACAGGCAGCTTTGATCGTAGTTAATAACTTCTGTTATGATTGTGGTTGTTAAAATGTCAGGATGATGATGGAAAGGAGGAAGAGGGCTCTTTGCAGGCACGTTTGTTCCTGGCTCAGAATGATGATACACAAGCACAAGGGGCTTGGGCTGACACTGTTCCCTGCTGATGAGCCTGCCATTGGCTGCTAAAGAGGAAGAGACATCCTAAAGCAGAGGGGAGGATGGGCGTGTATTTTTAAATAAACTGCCTTGTGATGCAGAAGGCCAGTGAAACATTAGAGATATTGAACCTTAGACACATGGAAAATTACTCACATGCTTTTTTTTTTCCTTCTGTGACTCTAGTAATCCAAAGGAAAATTATTCCGCTTAAATGACTCATCTGAAACACGTTTTTTTCAACTGTATCTTGGGCAAGGAAGAAATCTATTCAGAGAAAACAATTTATTATTTAACATTCTGACAGGTCCACGAAATAGGAGTCAATTGAGTTCAAATAAAGAACTGCTATTTTTAACAACTTCTAGATGTTCCTGGCAGAAGTGAAACCAGACTTTGTTAAAGAAAATAACAGGTTTATGATTTTTTTCTTATGATTTTGTTTAAAATTTGATAATCAAATAATACTTAAAGTAAAAGACAGACACAACAATAGTTATGAAAATATGATGGAAAGGTTAAGGGAAATGAAAAAGAGCAATATGGAAACAAACAGTGTTCTGAAATTAGAAGTAGATGCTCCTCTGTTTTTATTACTTCATTTCAGTCATTGCATAGACTGTTAAAAGCGATTACATACCTTATAATATGCTTTTATTCCCTCTGATCACGGAATTGCAGGGCTGGCTGGGGATGTATCTCAGTGACAGAGTGCCTGCCTAGCATGCACAAGGCCCCTGGTTCAATCTGCAGCACCACAAAAACAGTCAAGTAAAGAAATAAAATAAAAACATTTTATCCTTTAAAGATGAAAAGCTATTACCCTACTGAAATTTTATCATTTAAATTTGAAAAAAATTGGAATTTTTATATATTTACAGTTTCAAACATTCCGTAAATGTTACTTTATTTGGTAAGGGTGCATTATGACCAGAAAAGTAAGCATGCACTGTTATTACTGTTTTACTGAGGCAATGAGAGCTCAGGTCATACAGCAAAACTGTAATAAAATTGAAACACAATTCCTAAGTACTGAATTTATTATGATATAGGTCTCCTTAGACCAAATTTTTGTATAGTACATAGAACCATATTTCTTACCTTTTCCACGTTCATTTTTCTTTTTTCTTTTCCTGACACTGAGTTGAGTCCACAGAAGTCCTTGGAAAATTTTGTTTGTTGTATCAATTTTTTAATCTTTCCTCTGAAGGAGTATCAAATGACTGTTTTGTTTACTTTGTAGTTAAAATGGATGTTATTCTGTACTTTTCAAGGCCCAAAAGGACTAATTGGCCAGAGCATGTCCTATTCCACTTTCTAGAACCTTCCTTTGGCTTATACAGTGGTCAATTATAATAAAAAGAAAGAAATTAATGGGAATGTCCTGGAAATTGAATATAAAAATTTGAGGGGCTGGGGATTTAGCTCAGTGGCATAAGCACCTGCCTTGCAAGCAGGCAGTCATGAGTTCGATCCCTGGTACCGGTAAAAAAAAAAAAAAAACAACAAAGTTTGAGTGAAAATATTATTAACAATCTAATTCCCATACCTGTTATTTATCCTATATTCTGCAGTGTAGTCCTTTTCTATCCCACATGTTTTATGTTTGTTTCATTTTACTAACACATTATAAATAAACTGAATGTAAGACTTCCCATTTCTTTGATAACCCTATATCCAAAATATTTTAATCTTTAGAATCCTCTGGAAGCTTTCTCCATTTAAAAAATTCCATACTCCATTTTTGCTGAAAATTATATATTTATCACCTACTTCCTATGTAGATTTTTATGCTCTATAAATATCCATGTTAATTTATTCATTCATTAATTCCTTCATCTATACATACAGTATAGTTAAGGTATTGTATCACACAGTATTTGCATACTATGCTGTTATTGTTTATTCTACTGGATTTGAACTGCATAAAAGCATACACTGTATGCTTGCAATCTTTTCACCCAGAGTTGTACCTGGTACATCATAATTGTACAATAAGTGTATTTTGACGAATAGCACCTTGTAAAATGCTGTGGACATGACAGGTAATAACTAAATGCTATCTACTGGTAGGACAACACCTTCTGTTTTTATCATTTTTCACATAAAAGATTGAAATATTTGAAAGAATAAGAATACCTTTTAACTGAAGTTTGAAATTACTTTACCATGCAAAATTCTGGTTAGATGAAATGAACAACATATTTTGGAAGTGCCTAAATATTACATGTCCCTGAAGCTATTAAATATTTTATCAGTATGCATAATTGTTTCAGTAGGTTGACCTATAGATGCCATGTTGTCAAGAAACCCTAGATGAAAATCAATATATGATATATTTTAAGTTGTGTAGAATAAACTGAAAATGATGAAAAAAAGAGTGTATAATTATTTCTATTTTCATTTGAAATTCTGGCTCTGGTTAAACCTAGAAGCCTTTTCAAGAGCATGAGAACTGTAATAACATGCCACTAAATGCTTTTGCTTGTTCAGTTTCTCACTTGCAAAGGTAATCCATGCTGTAAAACCTGGAAACCTTTGAAATATGCATCAGGCAGGAGGCTGGTGTGGAGACTGCCTTGAGGTCAGGGCTTTCGGTTCCTTGGTTGCTGAGTCTGGGGTTTCTGCCAAAGGCCACGAAATAGCCCTTCATTAACTGGCTCTTGGCAGCAAATATAATTAAACGCTAGCCAGAGATTAGAATGTTGTAAAAAGGATAGATGTCTCCTGGGGTGTGAAAATAGGACCAAAACGCTGATCCTCTGACAATCACTACTCTTTAGTTGGTGGGCTGTGCTTTTTCAAAAATGGTTTAGAATAAGGCAGCTGTGTAACACTGGCAGTTTCTGACAGAGAGTGCAATCTTTTGTGGTTCTGGCATGCACAGGTTGTAGTGGCTTGATTCCACATGTAGGCAATTCCTCAGTTTTACCAAATTCCTTCCCAGTGAACTCTCACAGCGTGCCAGTGAGGTGAATGTTTGTGCAGGTGGTGATCAACTGTCTTCCCTGGAATTGTCTTCTTCTCTTCCCGAATTTCCCATAGAGGGTCACTCAAAGATGACAAGAAGTTTATGCTCTCTGAAGGTTGAGCTTGCTGTTGCTGCAGCTGCCCAAATATAGCCTCAAAGAAACAATGATTTGAACCTGGCGTGTGATTGCTGTCTCTAGACTCCCTGGCACCACTCAGTTTGGGGATGAAAAAATATACCTGGTAGCATTCAAGTCTTGAATTGTAATGAAGTTAGAGTGTCCAGATGTATCCTTTTAAAAGGATTAAGCCAGCATCCAGGAAGCCTTTTGAGGATAATAAATTATTTACTTTTTCCAAAGAAGATAGGAAATCTTCAATTGTGCTTATAGAGATTAGATTTTTAGATAGGCAGAGCTGTTTTGAGTAGGGAGGAGGGAGCTGTTTGTTTTACGCACAGTACACCACAATAGACCTTTGTTTCCACCTGGGTCATAAGTGCATGTTTCTGATTATGCCAAGTTCCTCTAAATATACCAATTACAGTTTGCAGAAGTCTGCTATAACACATTTAGATTGTGTTGTTAAAGAAAAATTTAAAATCATATTAGGGTAGGCAGGAAGGATTTTGAAATGTTAATATTTGCCTTTGCAAGATTATATATGGCAGGCAAACACTTCCATCACTCAATTCCACCCCACCCCACTTGTTTTTAGCTCACCATCCAAACTGAATCATTTGGTAAAATCTTTCTTCAAATTCTTGACTTTAGTCAAACTAGACTATCTGCTATTTCCTGAACACAATATAAATATTTGAGTTCATGCTATGTGCCAAGCTGGTGTTATGTGTCATAAATAGATAGAATTTCTTCACTGTGACTAGCAATTGTTCACGTTTTTATTCATCCAAGAAATACATAAGGACCTACTATATGTCAGACGTATGTTAAAAACAGAGGGTGAGACTTTCTAAACCCAGCGATACACGGAGAAGTGATCAGAAGGTATAATATGTGGAATCTTCAAATAAGCAGACCCTTTATTCATTGATTTCTTTCCCAAATAATAAATTTTAAATTTATATGTACCCACTTGATTTTTTCCCTAAAACTTCAACTGAGTTGCCACTTTCTTCTCTACAATATTGTCTACTCAATTGTGTACAGAACAAGCTAGTACGAGTGACATCACACTTTTCTTATATTTTTGACACAATTGGGTTTCTCTTAAGTATCCGGGGTCATGTACATCTCAATGCTAAGTAATAAGCTTAAGTTTAGTGTCACAAGAGCAAAAAGAATAAACTTAAATTATGTTACAAAAACAAAACAAAAAATAGAAGAAGTGAGGGTGCGGGTGTGAATAAAGCAAACACACCCCCTAATCTCATGGAATTTACACTCAAGAAGATTAAATAGTAATAAAGAAAGGCTAGGCAGATGGGAGACACAGAGCAAGGAAGTTGATCCTTAAGAAGGGATGGTTGCCCTAAGCCATGAAGAACTTCTAGGGACCAGCCACCAGCCAAACAAAGAGGTAAGATAAACACTGAGGCCAAGGGAAAGGTCTGGGGAAGAGAGAACAAGGTCAGACAATGGCATTGTGGTGCGGACTGCACATCCAGTATTTCTGGTTCAGGTCCCAGATTTTCACTACTTCCCTTGTAAGTGTGGACAAATCTCTCAACATCTGTGCTTCTTATCTTTAAACAAGGAGAGCAGAAGTATTAATCTCACTGTTGTCTTGACAAATGAGTTGCTGTGTGCTCAGTACATAGTAAGCATTATATAAATGTTAATTTTAACAAGAGAGTGAAAGTATTTTGAGTTAACCTGTAGCCTAGAGTGTAGCAGGTGTACAGAGCAGAGTAAGAGATGAGACTAGAAAAACTGATAGAGTGTGAGTTATGGGAGACGTAGGCCAGGGAGTGGTTTTGCAAATCTGTGAAAGATTTTCCTGATGTGTAGAGCAGAAGGAAATCACTGAACATCTTGAAAAGGGACAGAGACACAATCAGGTTCGTATGGGCCAAGCTGTGTACACAGAGACTGAAGTATGTGGATTGGTAAAATATTCAGGGGGGTGGAATTCATCACTTTTGGTTATGGATTAAAAGTGTGAATGAAGAAGAAGGAAGGATAAAGAAAGAATATATGGCCTGGAAAGGAGCCATGGTATGCCTCACATCCAAAAAACAAGGAGAAATCCTGAATAGCTGTGACTATGCATGGGGTTATAGCAATAGTTGAGGGAACTGCCTTCCCAAGAGCTGCTGGGGTAACAGAGAAATAGGGCTGGTTAGTGCTGGTCTAACAAGCCATGATTTGAAATACAGTTTATAGATAAAGGGCGAGAGCACTTACTACGGAAATCAAGGCAAGGCAGAAGACTCAGAGGAGGTTACTTAAATTTTTGTGGCACTTGGCCGCCGGGCTGTGAGGTTTCCTCAGTGGCTCTCTGCAGCTTCTAGCCACAATGGTCATTTGCGCCTCTGAGAGCTCCAGGATCAGGATAATTGGATGGTAATATTATTGACACTATAGTCTCGAACATTTACTAAGGTACCCTAAGTGCTAGGTCCTGTTTTAAAAATTTCAAATACATTATCTTATTTGAATGGTTTTTTGTTTTGTTTTAGTTTGGTTTGGGTTTTCATCTTTTGAGATAGGATCTCACTATTGCAGTCCAGGCCACTCTTGAACTAGCTGTGTAGACCAGGCTACTCCAGAAGTCATGAACCTCTTTCCTCAACCTCCCAAGTGGTAGAGTAAAGT